GAAGGGCACATGGGTGGTGGGCTCCACTCTCTCTCTCCATATTACTTACTCTACAGCTCACTCTTTTTATCTACACTCACAGACATCTTCAAACTGAAGCGGGCCGGCCCGTACTTCTTTGAATTGGGCTATTTGAATTCTTGTACATTTGCTCATCAACTATGCAAATACAAGTGTGTTTGTAAATCAATAAATTAACTCAAAGTGAGTTTTTTTTTTAGTTAAAAAGGGTTAATTTAAAAAAAAAAAGTGGTATAATTAGTTGTTAATGTTATTTTTGTTTGTATTAAAATAATATTTAAAATAAAATTATTAAAGTTAATTTGATGTAAAAGTATGAGAAAGATGATATGAAGTGATGGTTATTTAAAATTATGTGAGTGGATGATTAGTAAATTAAAGTTTGATAACACAAAACTCTCCGACCGGCTGGAATCCGAGTACTCGCATCCTTCTCTCCGGTTGAATGTCGTGCATCTACAAAGAACTCTCACACCGGATGGGTTTTCTGGTGAAGAGCCTCCAAAGCTTAAGTCAATGTTTTTTCAATCAATTCTCAAAGGCAAAGTGAAAATGATCGTGTTGAGCAAGAAAGGCTTAACCCATATATATAGGGGTAAGATAACTGCCCTATGAGCTGCCCGGATCTACTGTTCTGGCTGCCAGGGCATGCCTGTCCGTACACACACAGTGTGCGTGTGTCAGAGATAACCGTCGCTGTTGTGTACAAATTATTCTTTTTACCGAGTACCGAATCAAAGATTCGTTCCCGGGTCGATCTCACGAGAAAGGCGTGACGAGGTGCAGCGGCGTGGGGCTCACGTGGTGCGGGGCCTGGACGAGCTTGTGACTACTTCCTCGACTTTGCTTTCCGGATTCGTGCGAGCTCGTTTGGAAACGGAATTTAATTTCGTTTTTTCTTGTGTATTGCCAATGAAAAGCTCTATTTAATCATGTTCACCCGGTCTATCTATCATGAAAAATAAATTCTCTCGAATCTCTAACATGCACACCAAAGACGAAGAAAAACCGGAAAAATACACGAGAAACACAAAGAAAACCGAAATAGAGCGAAACACACAATAAACGACAAAATGAACCTAAAACCAACTAAATGACTCAAAATGGGGGGAAAAGAAGGATAGAATAATAAGGAAAAACGCAACAAAAATGGGACAAACAACTCTCCCACACTTAAGCCTTTGTTCGCCCCGAACAAAAAGAAAATAAAACAAGACACGAGCATTGATACGGTTTCAAATAAAAATAGTCTCAAAATGCCCAATTCAATTGAGTCGAATTCCAACGACCGTACGACCATATGCCTCAAATATCAACTTGACCTCGAAATGACAAACTCTCAAAGTATAGATCATCATATATGCCTCACTCATTTTCTTACATGAATATGTGATAGGTACACTCAAAATTGATCAAAATTCAAGTTTCAACATATGCTTGCCAATCATTTAAATTACTCGAAGACAATCAAAGCACAAAATATGCGAATCAAGAGGACTTCACGGGTTGTAATGCGGGTTTAAGGAAAGATATATATGCCAGAAAAGAAGCTCAAATAAACAACAAAATTCTCGAGAAAATAAATCACTCGAGTTCTCCGCTACCAATCTGGAATAACAATATAACACATTCACCATCCACCAAACAACTCCACAAACAACACCTCACTGCCCTAATCGAATTGCAACATCACTTGACCCAGTTTTTTCTTTTTTTTGTTTTTCTTTTTTTGTTTTTTATAAATATCTTTTCTTTTTTTTTTCGGAGAGTAACCTTTTTCGAACAAGATCGAATCAAAAGGACAACATTCTGTAGGTGTGAACATTGGAGGTCATCCAAGTGTCCTACAGTAGTTTCCAAATGCTCATTACCCGTCAACATGAATTGACTAGTAAGAGGAGCACAATCCATTCGAATCGCCTTGTGAGCTCTCATTTTTTTCAATTTTTTTTTAATTTTTTTTTTTAACTGGTCAAGAAAATAACAATGCAACTCAACATCCACCATATTCAGAAATACCACCAATTCCCCAGTCATCACACAAATCAGTCAACAGGTTGACAAGAAAAGGTTTTAAGCTCAAACGGGCTACTAGTGGAGAAATAAATTTTAGGACAAGGAACAAGGCAGAAGTGAGTTAATCAAACAAAACGCCTCAATCATATTCGCAATTTCAGACTCTAATCGATTCCTTTCAAACAAACTCAAGGCAAGTTCTAATCATTCAAGAATATGACCAATATCCCACAAGAAAAGAATAAGGCTCAAAACCTCGCAAGGCAAATAGATGTCATTCAAAGTAATCAAGCAAATACCGAGGCAATGACCACACGCTCGTTATCACAACTTTCCAATTTCATCAAACATTCATTAACAATTCATATAAACCACCAATACCATGCTCAACAACACAAAAACCTAACGCTAGACCGGTCCACCACATAAACATGCAAAATCCAAATAAACTCCCCCACACTTAGAATGAGGCAATGACCTCATTGCTTTAACACAAACCGGAAGTCACAAAATAGGACCCAACATTTTCATATAATGAACCAAACTAGCAGCTAATACAAGATACAAACTCAAAAGAAAAAACAAAAGAAAGAAACAACTCAAAAAGAGAAAATAAGAAAAGGGTGTGCAAACCGAATTGCCTCGAGGAGAAATAGCATGCATGTGCAAGTCACTCGCCTATGCTCAGCCTCAGAACTTGTTATTCCTCTTGCTCAAGCTCGCAAATAGCACCTGTCGAGAAAAACACAAAAGAACTCCCAACTCCAATTATTAAAATATCAAACTAAAAGAGCAAAAAGGAAAATATCTAGAAAGCAGTAAATTTATTGGGTTGCCTCCCAAGAAGCGCTCGTTTAACGTCATTAGCTTGACGAAACCTGAAGAGAACTCAACCGGGATCTAAGAAGAAGTGACGGTCGTGCCACGCCTTCGTATTTTCCAGAAGTGGTAGCCCGGACAGTGTGGCTAGAAGGCGGGCATAGTGGATCGGGGTGGTCATGTTCTGTATAAAGAGGTCTCGGGTACGAGCAATTCCCAACTCTAGACGTAGAGCTTTTCCCACACGAGCTCTATCGTCAACCTCCAAAAATATAAGCTCATCCGTGGAGCAAGTCGAACTGAATGCTCCCCACTTCGTATCACAGTGTAAAGGCCCCGAAGACGGATACTCCAACTCGAAAGTGGGAAGAGGGACTTGAGAATCAAGCCCGTGGATCTCCTCCTCTGAAATATCATCAAGCTCATCATCATCTTCTTCGGCCTCACACATTTGCTTCATCGTGCGGGCTTGAGTATCAAGCCTAAGGTGGGGGTAGTCGACTTTTGCCTCGATTGAGCTGGTATGTGCTGCAAGAATCTCCATTTGTGTGCTCAGTCGAGCACACCCGAGCTCAATCTCCACATCTCGAGTGGACTGGGCAGATATGCGAGCAAGGATGAGGTCGAGCTTCTCACCGAACGACAAAGCAGCCTCCCGAGGCTCGTCTCTATGTGTAGGTTTGCCTTGAGCGGTGGGCTCGGGAGTGACATTGGTAACTCGGTCCTCTAAGGCTTGCACGCGCTCCACTAGGTTCTCGATCCTGGACTCAAGATTGCTCTTACGGGCTGCTTGGGATGCCAAAAGAGTGAGGACTTGGTCGAGCTTGGCGTTATATTCTGAGGAATCCTCGAGGGACTCACATGACTGCTCAATAGGCCTGGACTCCCATTGCTGCTCGTAAGGATACTACCAAATCTGGCCATTGTCCCAGGGATCGTAGAATGGAGGTGGTTGGTTCAATTGGGCACACCGGGTTGTTGTCTCTTCTTCCTGAGCTAACCGGGATATTGCAAAATCATATATACGGTCGAGCTTCTCGTTGAACGCATGGGACTCATAGTATTGCTCGACCGGGTGGGGGTCCCAGTACTGCTCGGAAGAGTAGGGATAAGATTGAACGTGGTACCCGGTGTGGTAGCTCGGCTCGTGGACCCAGGATTGGGTATGCGAATAAGGGAGCACACGATCGTAGCTCATACTACATGCACACCAAAACAGAAAAACCACGCGTAGCCACGAAAATACAAGAAAAAGAAAACAGAAACAAGAAAGACAAAAAGAAAAACAAATATGCACAAAAGAGAGAACAAAAACACGAAAATCAAGAAAATAAGAGAAACACAGAAAAAAAAAAAATCAATACCAAGACTAAATATCCAACTTGCCTTCCCCGACAACGGCGCTAAATTTGTTGTGTACAAATTATTCTTTTTACCGAGTACCGAATCAAAAATTCGTTACCGGGTCGATCTCACGAGGAAGGCGGTTCGGAATTTAGAAATGATATTGATAACACATAAAAATAAAGTAAATCCTAAACATACTAATCAAATAATGGATATGAGAAACTATCAGCTAAGAAATAAAATGAAAGCAATAATCTACCTAAAGAATAAACGAAACAAAGACGGAGAAGCTAGGGAATCGGGGATAATTAATTCAAGTTCTAGCAAGTCGGGCTATCAATTGTTCAGTTCGAGATTGACACTCTCGCTTATACATCTAGCGGTTCGCTCCCAATAACTCTTCGTAACAAGGGATTGAACATAGACGAACAAGTTCGAGCACACGACACAGGCAAATTATCCCAATCCCAATAACTTTTCGTAACAAGGGACGGGTCATCGACAAGCGCGTATTTCACCCCGAAACATATAGACTATTCAATTACGAAATTATCTACCTCATGTGAGTCTATTTCTACGACTTCTCCCCTTT